GGGCAGGCAGGTGGGTTGTTGTCTGGGGGGTGGGAAGAGGGCGCTCTCGGGTGCCCCCTTTGTGTCCCCCCGTGCAGCTCACCCAGGTTATAATTAACGTGGGAAAAACGAAAAATGAAGTAAATTGTCGGGTAATAAGTCTTAGGACCTGCCCTTTGTCCGCAGACAGCCGCTGAAGTAAAGTGTAAAGTAGGTAAAGAAGTGAAGTGGAAGAAGTGTAAGAAGTGAGTAAAGTGGAACTATACACAACCTAATTGATTCTAAAATGAGCTAACCTGAGATCGCATAAGTTCTAGAATGTGACAAAAAAATTATTATTTTCTAAACCGATGCTGTTTCAGTAAGCCTACATAATTTAAAGCAAATCTATTCAGCCATTTTTTGTATTTGCTAGGTTAGCTTAGATTGTTATTTTTGTGCTAGCTATACCTAACCTATATATTACAATGGCTAAATAGGAGTAACAAATTTCATGCAAATCTATTTAACCAATTGCTACCACTGAGCAAAGATTCGGTGGTTCTCGCATGGACAAAACCACCACTCGGAAGTTACCCAAGCAACCACTGCAATGGCTGATATTAACCAGTTTCGTCAGCTGGGAACGGTAGGGTGTGAGGTTACCAGAGCCCCACACAAGGATGCATATTTAATCGCAGGCAACACTGCATTTTTAGGCCCAATCCATAAGACAAGGCTTATGTCCCCAGCGAATGCTGATGGCGGTGCAGAGACGCACAAGTTTGCCTTTAGCTTTGGGAATCTTGTCTTGTCCAAACGCCTTGGCAACATGTTGGGTCACGAGTGACAAAATTCACGGCGTCCGTCACGAATGCCGGAGTGGAGGCGCGCAGCGCCGGAATGTATAGGCACAAGTGATGCCGTGAATTTTTGCATATTCTCCATAGTAGATTCTGCACAAATATATTGGGAAACTGCAACATATTCTGAATTTGTTCTTTATTGTTGGAAAGCTGAAAAAACATTGTTCCCATTGCAAAAATACAAACCATGCCGGTAAATGCTGATGTTGACCTTGACAGGGTGCAACAGCTGGTTGAGGGTGGTGGCATAAAGCCAGAAACTTTGAAAAAGAGAGCTAAATCACTCGATGCCTTGGAAAACTTTCTGAAATCCAAGCATGGCACCTCACTTGAACAAGCACTGATAAGTGCCAATTTTGAAAACTTGTTGATGGCCTACTTTGAAAGTCTTCGTGTGCAACAACGAGATGAATCTGGTAATGTGAGTTACATCATACCCAAGCGGAAGAAGATGGAGTCCAACAAGTCTAACCTCAAACTCGCCATACTCACTAAAACCGAAAACAAGGTGGACATCTTGAACCATGGACGGTTCCCCAAGCTCACACAACTTCAAAAAGGTGTCTCAAAAGCATATGCAGACTATTCCGCGCGGACTATTCCGCGCAGATAGTTGCGTCTAGGAAAATTCAGCGCAGGTCAATTCAGCACATGGACAATTCCGCGCCGGTCAATTCCGCGCGAAATAATTACACGAGGACAATTCAGCGCAGGTCAATTCCGCGTAACAGTATAGACAAGAACTATTTAGCTCAGGTCAATTCCATTTTATTTCAAGCTCAAATACGGGCCAATTGTCTTAATGTTTTACTTTTGTCATCTCTATTGTAACTTCCTAAATTTTCAAAACATTCAGTCGTCTGTCTTTATAACCTTTAACCCTTCAATGATTTTCTTCAAAGCCTCTGCCATTTGCATGGACCAGATCAATTTAAAGATGGATGGATGACTTGCCCAACCAAGTTTGAAAAACCACGATGTCAGCCTTCTACTGCATTGTTTGTTCTTGGCAAACCTTCCGTCAGTCTTGACCAGATTGTCTTTGGAAAAGTTGGTGTTTTGCAGAAAAGAAGAAAACTGGACAGAGGAAAAGGTCCACAAGCTTTGGGTTGAGTGTATTAACTGCATTCTGGTGCATTCTAGGGGTGCACGGGATCCATCATTTTAGATCCGGAGGATACTGGGTATCCGGCCATTGGGGCCGGGTATCCGGCCAAAGTATCCGGCCAGAAACGGGTACTCAGCCACAGGAGGCCGGATACCGGGGGAGGGTGCAAGTGGCCAACCCATGCTGTTTTGCCATATTTTTGCCATTTATTGACCATACCAGCATTTTCATGTTATGTTATTGTTATACCTTATGAATATTTGAACCAGATGTTTGCCATCCATATCCAGATGAAATGAGAATATACTAAAAGTAGGGATGGCAAACATCAAGCAAAAGTTTCAAATATTCAGAAGGTACAAGGTGACCCAAAAAAATCCATACCCTTAAAAATTGTTATAAATCCTACAAATGTATAGCAAAATTCTTGAAATTTACTGGACTTAAACTTCATTCTGTGCATGGTCATTCCCTAAAGTTTCAGCTACCTTGGTTGCTTTGTATAAAAGTAATGTTATTTTCAAAATAATTTTTAAATATTGAACAAATCCCATACTAGAGTCCAAGCAAATTTTCAAAAACACTTGTCAACAGCTTAGATTTTTAAATTTGGGTGGTTCCCACTTCCTGCATCAGAGGGGTAGGCGGCTTTAAATCATCCTGCATTTCCCCCCTCCTATCAGATGAACACTGGCATGTTGCACACTCAGTGTCCATCAAGGTTCAGCGACACCACTTGGATAAACTTACAGGAAATGGTGTGCTACATCACTGGCATTCTTATCATAATTTTTTGGCTTATTCTGGTCTGAAGGAAAGTCCTATGACAGAAATTAACTATAATATGCTGTATATTTGAAGCATATTTTAGAATCGCATAACTTTTATACAAAGCAACCAATTTACCTGAAAATTTGATGAATTATCAAAAAACAATTTGAGCTTTTGAAATATCCGGTTATCCGGCCAGATATTGGAAGTATCCTGCTGGATACCGAATAGTGCCATTTTGGCCCATTATCCGGCCGGGTACCCGGTTTGCCGGGTATCCGATGCACCCCTAGTGCATTCCAAACAAGCTATGCAAGTTTCTCATTGTGCCGAGTTATTTATTGACTTGCGACTTAGCAACCACGCTGAATTGACCTGTGTCGAATCATCCGCACGGGATTGACCTGCGCTGAATTATCCTAACGCGGTATTGAC